AAATGAGGCTTACAATGCTTTTGGAAAATGCACGGCAGGTCATAGTTTCTCTTACCAAAACAAATGTGCATTTTGAACACAAAGTTGGAGTGGTCAATAAACAAATAATATTAAAAAGTGAAGAACCCAACTAAAGCAAACACTGATCACCATATTGGTGACATGAAATTAAACATTCCATAACATACCACCATCTAGACTTCTGTAAAACTAAATAAGACTGTTTGTAGATGTATAACAGAAATAAAGCCAAACCGGGTGTACAAATAATAACTGCAATAATGTGTAATGGCTTAGAGTCAGAGTTCTTGTGGTTCTCTTTTTTCTGTTCTTGTTGTTTCTCTCTCCTTCAATGATTGTTCTTATTAACATTAGGTGTCACCACTAATGGCTAATCTTCACTTAATTTTCTTGTTGACTTCAACTGCTTCAGCAGTGTTACTTTTCTCAACAATCTTAATCGCTTAAAGTAAAATACTCAATGGTGATTGGCTAATCTCTTTTTATTATTTTTTTTTTACCGGATATGGATTTGCTTCCCCCTCCCTTTCTCTATCTCCCCAGACTGGCATTTCGCAGATTCAGCATATTCTGGGAACCACCACAAAAATAAATTTAGTGACACTGACAAATGTGAACACTCTCTCTCACACACACACACACACACACACACACACACACACACACACACACACACACACACACACACACACACACACACACACACACACACACACACAGATAGAGAGAGAGAGATAAACAAACAAAATTTGCTGCTTTATTTGCTCATTTGTTATGCTGTTCATATCAGTTCATGCATTTTTGAAGTTCATGTCATGTAGTTGTATTCGATATATAACTGTACATATCTGTTCTGTTACAGTTCGTGACTGAAGTGTAGATTACATTTGTACAATTATATAAAAAAGAAGATTGAGATAAATTATTAAAAACTCTAAAAACTCTAAAAACTCAACTTTTATCTTTTTCAGGTTTGATTCTAATCATAATGTAACATTAATGTAGCACAAAAAATGCTAAATGTTGACAAAAAAGTCATTTTTATGGTTCTAATTGTGATTTCATAATATTTAGATATGAATCCAACTGGAAAAACTTGTGAAAATATATGAAGAGTTCAGATGCAAAAGCCTCTAAGTGCCATTTGAAATTTTCTTCTAGAGTGATAATTTTTATCAAGCTTGTATAATTAAGTTCAGTGATTTCACTTAAATGGCAATGATAATTACCTATTAATTGTTATTTATGTGAAATTACTAAACTTAAATATACAAGTTTGATAAAAAAATCATCATTAAAGAAGAAAATTTCAAATGGTATTTAGAGGCTTTTGCATCTGAACTCTTCATATCTTTCAGTTAGTCAAAATAGCATATAGTGGAGCTCTATAGCCATCTAGTGGCTAAAATGATATATGGGCAAAAATTTTACCATGGATTTAAAATTAATCATGTTATCTCCATAAATTAAATTTTTAAATGTGGGTCTTTTATAAAGTGAATTTTACACTGTAAAAAAAATGTAAGCTAGTGCAACAGCAAAAAAATCTTATTAATTAAAGGAGTAATTCACTTAAAAAAAACTTTTGGTGATTATTTACTCACCCCCATGTCATCCAAGATATCCATGTCATTTTTTCTTCAGTCGAAATGAAATTAAGGTTTTTGATGAAAAAAAGTTGAGTCAATTTCACATTATTTGTTTTCTGGAGAGGTGCAACTATTCTGTAAAAAAAAAAAAAATTTTTTTTTTAATTGATCCTATTCAACATTTTTGTCTTTTTTAAAAAAAAAAAAATTATCGACAATCATTTGGGTCATCATTTTGGTGATGAGCGTTTCCTTTGGTTGGTAATTTGATTTTGGTGTGAATTTGTGGTCTTTGAAACAGTATTTTGAAAAATAAATAAGTTGTTGCTAAGAAAGAAACCAAGATTATCAAGTTTTCAGC